TTTTTCTTTCTTTCTTTTTTGATGAGTAATATAAATAAAATAAACATGTATATATATATATATATATATATATATATTAATTTTTAAAAAGGTGTGAATAATTACTTTTTTAATGTATAGTGTTAAATTATTTAAAATTTGTTCTATGTGGTTTATAAAGTACATTAAAAGATGAACCCTTATATAACGAATTTTCCATATAACGAACTTTTTTCGAGATTTAGTGACTTCGTTACATAAAGGTCCGACTGTATACTACAGTGAAAAATATGTGGCAGTTATTTATTGCATAAACTTTAACGTGGTGTTTTTTCCAGTAAAATAAAGCTTGGTTTCATTCACAAAGACGAATTGATTTTAAGAGGAATCATATTTCTAAAAAAGTTAATTTCTGCAGTTCTTTTTGTTGAAAACGTTGAAAAAATACATAATGCTATGCTTCAATAAATTTCTTTTTCTGGAACATATAAGGTGAACCAAAAATCTTACCCTGATTGTTAAAACTCGGTAGAAAAAACCAATTAATATAATAGTGTAGCTTTTGTATCATTGGATACGTCAGTTTTAGTAGTTTTATTGTGCAGTAGATGGCGTGAATACTCCATCAAAAGTGACTCAAGGGAGACACAAGGGCGCAGCTACCGCCGTATCAATCATACGGGGCTCCGAAGCTACAGGGGTCCCAACATGTGTAACTACAGTCCCACTAACAGGACTCATATCTAACGAAGAACCTTGAAGAAATTTTGATGCAGGGCTCTCTCAGAGCTAGCTATGCCAGTGGGGGAGACATCTTTTTGTTTGTCAAAACTGCATCGATTCAGGAAAAGCTCAATGTGTGTTTTGGTTTCACGAAACGAAATCGCCCTTTAAATGTTCAACGGGAATTTGAACATTGTAATGAATTTCAAATACCTCAAACAAGTTGGAAAGATTTCTTCATGAAAAACTTAGATTGTATGCTTATAAAGTGCAAGACTTGTTAAAGGACACTTGACAGGAACTGGAATACCACCTTTTTCACATTTTTTGAGTTACCGGAGGAGAAGGGAGGTAGTTTGCGTTAAAATTAACTGCGGTAAATAGTCTGTGATGAAAATATTCATAACAATACTTAAAAAATATCCAAGAAAATATATATGTCTAATAGTTTGAGCACAATAAATAATCAGGGCAAGACTTTTGGTTTACCCTATACACAAAAGAGTCATATAATCAAGAAACTGGTTAGAAATTATAAACTTTTTCGACATAATTTGAATTATTTCAAAAAATTTCTTTTTGTTTGGATTCTTTCAACGATGAAACTCTCTAAGCCGTTGCGGATATCTCAAAATAGATTTATAATTGACATTTACAAAATCAATAAAATTAAGCAATGCCGTTTAGTATTATTTTTTTTCATTTAAGCTTAGACCATTTTTATTCAGACATACTTAAGGTATCCGACTGCGTTCGGAACCGTGATTTTTCAAATGCGTAAAAACAAATTTTGTTTTAATATTTAGGGTTACTTAGATTAAAACACACGTATTAAATTGTTTTAAGAATATTATTACAATAAAAACTTATTTAAATATAGTATTTTGGCAAGAAATGAACATAGAATTATTTATTTTCCATATGTTCTTCTTTTATAGAAAGTGGTTCTGTAATAATAACATTTTGTCTATATATAGCTCAGACCTCTGTACACAGAACCTGATCCAAGATTTTTGAAATATACAATTTGGAAGTGGATTTATCCATATATTTTAATACATCAGAATGAAGAAATTTTAACACAGATAATTATTTCAATTGGTAGTAACTGCAAAAATAATGTGTATTTTTCAAAGGTCATAGTTCAGCTCCTCTGCAGAAGTCTTAGCTATATATAATATAAGCAAAATATTATTATTATAGAATCATTTTTCATAAAAAAAAATGTTTTGAAAAAAAGGTTACTCTAAGTTCATTGTTTGCCTAAATATTACATTTAAGTAATTTTTTATTATACTAATATTTTTAAAGCACTATACGTGTATTCTAATCAGAGAGTGTCATTAAATATTTTAAAAAAATATTAGTTTGTACGCTCTTTTGCAAAATCCCGGTTCCAAACGTAGTCGGATACCTTAAGGTATCCGACTACGTTCGGAACCGTGATTTTAAAAAAGTGCATAAATGGATAGTTTTCATAATATTTAGTGTCACTCAGATTAGAGAATGCATGTATAAAATTGTTTTAAGGACATTTTGACAAAAAAAATATTTAAATATAATATTTTGGCAAAAAATTAACTTAGAATAATTTTTTTTCCAAATGTTCTCCTTTAGTGAAAAATGGTTCTATTATAATAATATTTTGCCTGTATATAGCTCAGACCTCTCTACAGAGGCTCAACTAGAATTTTTGAAAAAAATCATATTGTTTTCAGAGTTACTACCAATTGAAATAATTGTTGGCGTTTTTTTCTTAAAATATTGCTCCCCTCTGTTGTCACGTAAAATATATGAATAAACCCTCTTCTAAGTTATATATTGCAAAAATTTAGTTGAGCCTCTGAACAGAGGTCTGAGCTATATACAGGCAAAATATTATGCTAATAGAAGCATGTTTCACGAAAGGAGAACATTTGGAAAAAAGATTATTCTAAATTAATTTTTTGCGAAAATATTGTATTTAAATAAATTTTTTGTCAAAATATCCTTAAAACAATTTTATGCATATATTCTAATCTAAGTGACACTAAAAATAATAAAAATTATCCATTTATGCGCTTTTGAAAATCACGGTTCCGAACGTAGTCGGATACCTTAATTAAAAAAAAAATAACATTTGATGTTGTCGCGTGTTATTATCCTGGGATGGAGTGAAATGCAAACATTAGAATGTAGACATTCATTACACACATGATGATCCCACCGTATAAAATTAGGAGTACGATGTTTTCCATTCGAGACTGGGGGAAAGTCCGACTTCTTTTCCCGAAAAAGATACAACCATGCCTAACTCGGGATTCCAACCCGAACCAACTCGGCTCCCTGCAGAGGGTCATATCCATCATACTGGCTGGGCGGCAATATCATTTAATACTCACATTAATATGATTTTTCTCATGGAATTAATTATATAAGCTATTACAATATTGCAGCATGGAAGGTTAGAATTTTGAAATTGAGACACGATTATAAACTGAAAGCAAACATATGAAATATATTATTCTGTTGTTAAAAAAGACAATCAATTTCTTTGATATCTTTGTTTATTAAAATTTTGGCGATAACTAAAACTATTTCCTTGATTTCTGTTAAAAGTGAAATTATTTCCAATGAAAATTATGACATAATTACAAGCAATTAAATACTTCTGAAAGAGTTGTATTATAATCATCCACTGTTTTGCAATAAACATTCACGTGATGGTAGTTTTTTCTCCAATGATTGCCATAGACCAGTTGTCCCCAACTCTCCGGGCCGTGGACCGGTCCGTGGATCAAATATAGTACCAGGCCGCACAAGAAACATTTTATTTACTGTAGTATATTTCACTCCAGTTTGTGTGACTTTTTATAGAAACCACTTTATATATTCCATGTGGCCTCGGTAGCGGAAAAGGTCAAGGTATCGGATCGTGGCTAGCCTTGTCACGAGTTCGAGCCCAGTACCACTTAAGACCCACCTTGTAGGGGAGCGATGTGTGTTAAATCTGTCGAGAGCTCAAAAGTCCTCCCGTTGGTGTGGTGTAGTAGTTAGGAGAGGGGTGTCAGCTCAGGCGTCGTCCACGTCACTTGACCCTGGTTCAGAACTACACGGTCCGTCGCCAAAAGCCCTCGTGTAGCTGCAGTGCGACGTTAATATTCACTCACTCACTTATATATTCCATCCCTTAATATTCACTTTTTGATGTAACTGTATTTAATTCTGAAGGCAAGGTTAAATTCAATTAAATTAAAATCATTAAATCAAAACAATCTAGAGTATCAAAAAACCAATCCCCTCTGTACCCCCCTTCCTCCTCAGTGGGTTGCGATGAAATTATCAAACGTTGAACAGTCCGGGTGATAAAAAGGTGGAGAGGCGCTAAGACTTATATAAAACGTAAAATCTGGCGTATAACACGCACTTTTAACGCAATAAAGAAGATCGAGATTTACAGGTGTGCTTTATATGCCGGGATTAGGAATGATAGCCTTAAAAATGAAAAAAAAAATTAGTAGAAAAAGAATTAGACTTACATATTTTTATCTATATACTGTTTATTTAAAAGAAATGGCATACCTCATGGATTTCAAGAGTGACAGTTTTAGAAATATGCTATTTTTTTAAAAACCTGGAATAATACCTCGAATGGAAGACTACAAAACGTAAAAGCATTACATAGGTAAATTTCAGATTTCTCCTAAAAAAAAGGGGGGTTCGCGTTGTACGGCGAATTTACCTAAAAATTAAAAAAAGAAGCTTGAAAGTTTAGGTGCGTGTTATACGCTGGATTTTACGGTACATATATTAATTATTTATGTATATGTATATTATATATATATATATATATATATATATATATATATATATATATATATATATATATATATATTATTTATGTATACGCTGGATTTCTAACTCAGTGAATTGTAGCTTTCCAATAATTTCAAGACTCTTGGCTCTGTAAGTAGAATTTTTGTAAAAATTTCTTTTTTGAAGAATCTTTTTTTTTCAAGTAATTTTCTGCTTTAAGATTTTTGGAGAATTTATTGCAAAATAGAAGTCTCGGTGATTTTCTCATACTTGCTGTGAGTTTTTATATACTTTGAATTCCTATTTTTTTATTTGGTTTTTCCTACTGAGTTGCAAGGGGGAAGGTTGGTGCCTTCAAACTAGCTTAACCCCACTTATTCCGTCCTAAGTCTGAATCTGCTTTTTGACTCGCTAGGTTCTTTTTTTGTATTTCCTTTATTATATTTTTCTATAAATTAGATCTTCATGTTTTCTTTTATATTTTCATTACGTTATTTCTTGTCGCCCAACCAGCATAGGGGATATGACCCTCGGCATGTAACCGAGCGGGTTCGGGTTCGAGTCCCGAGTAAGGCATGATTGTATTTTCTTCGGGCAAAGAAGTCGGACTTTCGCCTGTAATGGCTTTCCGTCTCGAATGGAAAGCAGCGCACCCCTTCTTGTTATGTACTGGGATCATTATCTGTAATAAATATCAATATTCTTCTCTTTATATTTCTCTCTGTTCTTCCACTTGTAACTCATATTTTTTCACTTTTTATATATACTTCTTTTCTTATATTTAATTATATTATGAAAATCATGGAGTATCTTTGCTCATAATATAAATATATCTTTCCAAAACAAACCGCTGAATAAGACAATAACGGAAAACGAGTGAAAGTACACATTTCAGCTTATCGAACCCATACTCGCGCAATTCATTTCCGAATCACTACACAGTTACTGCTATTATTTTATTTCTAAACCTTATTTCAGGTGGTGACGCTTCTAACCCACTTGTTTTTCCTTACATGCCTGATCGGTCGCCAATTCCTCGACCCTGCTCAAGGGTACCCGGGCCACGACATAGACCTCTACTTTCCAATCTACACATTCCTGCAGTTTTTCTTCTTCCTGGGATGGCTAAAGGTAAGTTCGTTCAAATGTGGGTGAGGCCTCTTCTTAATTTTTTTTTGTATGAAAATGTGGTTAGTAAACGGACTTCTGTTCCAGTAGGTTGCGGAGCAACTCATAAATCCCTTCGGAGAGGATGACGATGACTTTGAAACGAACTGGTTCATCGACAGGAATATTCAGGTAGAACCAATTTATATATGCAGGTATTTTTCGTCGCAAACGGAAGTTGAATGCTTCATGGGACGCAGACACGACTGCCTTTTTGCTCTCGTTTGTTTTATGTGTTTTAGATAGAGTCATTTCTAAATATATAGGTAAGAGAGTGAGAGACTTAGTAAATATAGTGTCGTGTTAAATAAATTATGCTGAGCGGTTTCATAAATTAAGGTATCCGACTACCTGCGACAATTTTTTTTTAAAAAAATTAAGATCCGGATTCCTTTTTCTTTTCTTTTTGTGAATTTTAGATTTATTTAGTACATTTTAAGAAAAAAGTGCTAAAATTAAGAAGAGAAAAAGGAATTTTTATTACTAAAATGGGAAAGAATTGGTAAAATTTGCAATAAGTAACATAAACGGGGCCAATCCTGTACAAAAAGTTTATGAACAAATTTTAAATTTTTCAGTTTTGATGTGTTACTTTTGGTATTTATTTTTGAAATGACCTTCAGGATAAGAGAAATTTTATTTTTTCAAAAACTAGAGCATTTTATCCTAGTTATTATAAGAAATTGCTTTAAAAACAATGATTATATTCACATAAGGGACTGTAAATTGTTTAATAAATCAGTGATTGATAAATCTGAAAGTTAAAACACTTGTACGATACTACACAGAACATGCACAAAAAATTTCAGTTAATTATTCTTAAGACTTTTTGAGCAATCGCTGCCCCCATTTGAGTTGTTTTTTTTAAAGATACACGTTTCGAGTAAAACGCATTTTAAAGTTGTTTGATATCTCGTTTAAAGTTATGGCATCTGCTTTTACTAAAACACCTGTAAATTTTATTTCAGAAAATGGAAAATAAAAACCTTGGTATTGTTACAAAGCTCATAAGACGGTATATAAAATAAAATCATAACAAATATTGTCAATTTTTGAAAAACATCACAATTTTAGGGTAGTCAAACACCTTAATAACAACACTTTTTTTTAAAAAAATTATTGATTTCTCCTAAATGTTTTGTGTTTAAAATATTTATTTCAGTGAAGTGATTTTCCGAAATATGTATCATGAAATTTAGACTGGCACATATAGTTGGTCTTTTTAACACCTTAAGGCTACACATTACCCTAAAAATTTCATTTTTACCGAAAAAAATTTTTTTTGCATGTTTTGGTGGCCCATATCATTGAGATGCTTGCCACGAAATTTCAGATCTGCTAGAAAATTAGTTTTTAAGATATTTGAAGTTTTATGAGCTATGGTTTTGGTTTCGGTTTCCTTTTAAAGTATTTTTTCACACTTAAGTTGAATTAATTAAAAACATTTTTGAGCTTTTAGTTTGAAATGGTTATTAATACCAATTTTCATTACTAAAATCATTTCTGCTTGAATATGTTTTGAGTTTTTTGAGTTCTCATAATTAATTAATAAAGATTAATTTCATGGCCAATTTTTGCTCTAAAAATGGTTTATATAACTTAAAAGCCTTATCATTAATTTTTCCTGTAGAGAAAATGCCATGGCAAATGCGTTCGGGGTTTCTGTGAGAAAAAATATTTCGAAGAGATGGAATACTACTGAAAATGATGCATCTAAAAATTAGTCCTCAGCTGATTTTGCAATTAGACTTCCGAATACAAGTATTCTGAATTCAAATGCTGCAGACATAACTGAATATTTCCTTGCTGTATCAAACTACATTATACTAAACATATTGTAGTACTATATTTTAGTATTTTAAAGTCGTACGACAAGAGCTAAAATTTTCTAAACTGCCCCAATTTAAAACTGAAAAAAATTAAATTTTATGAGAAAACCTGACTATTTTTAGCTTAAGTTAGTATCATTATTATTTTGTACATAAATGCTTCGTGTTTTAAAACTTTTGTGAAATATTAGGATAAGATAAAGCTGAATAAACTGACGCCTTACCAAATGCTATCAATATTATGCAAAAATATTTTTTGAATTAAACATATAATTTTCAGTCATATTTAATAAAAATAATGTTTTAATGTAGAACATACATTGGAAAATAACATATTAAAAAATTACAGTTTTACGGGCATTATAAGTTTTTGTTTTATGACTTTACAAACTTTAAATGCGTTTTTCTCAGACTTTTAATTTTGAAGGTATAAATATTTTCTAATCCCTAAGGCTTTTTTCCTGTTAAAGATAGAGCCTTGAATTTTTTTGTATATACTCCCAAATAAATGTTCTATAAAAGTTAGTATGGATTTAGGGCTGAGAACTCTAGTTATTTTTCTAAAAAATACTAAAGTTGATATTTTAAAAACTTTCGTGTTTTTTCCAGGTTTTTCTAGAAAAATAATTATTAAAAATCAACAAGGGAATAGATTGTCAAATCCATGCTAGGTATTGTTTGTAATAATCTAAGAATCATAAATAACTTAAAATTACTACAAAATTTTAAAAAATGAATATTTTATAGGAGTTTGAAAAAACTTCAAAAATTCCTAATTTTTTAAAATTGTAAAGTAATGGCTTGTCAAAATGACTTTTTGCTTACAGAATCAGCTTAATAATATAATCTAAATATAAAACATCAATTATTTTTACTGTAACTGTCTCCAAAAAAAATTTGAAAAAGGGTACCGTGTAGCCTTAAAACCGATTGAATTTCATTCTACTTGAAATAATTTTATGTTAAAAAATCACCATTTCATTTTTTAAAATATTTTAAGAATATATTACTTTAATAAGTGTATTGAAATTATTACTAAAAATTCAATACCAAACTACTTCTCTTCACGTTAAAAGAATAGAAATATATTCATATAGGAAATAAATACTTATTCCATCATTCATGAACTAATTTTATATATATAATGGTAATCTATTTTTCACTCACATTATAATTTTAGATTTCCCAATAAAATTTACATATATGAAACTAAATATATATATATATATATATATATATATATATATATATATATATATATATATATAGTTTCATATATGTAAATGAAAACAAACATATTTTTTTTATTGAAAACAATTATAAAATCCCCGTGCACCACAAAGTATCACACGAGGCTTACAGAAATAAGTATTAAACACACATTCAAGGGAAATAAACAATTAAAAAAAATGAAGTTAAGAAGGATTACAAACAGTTACAACAAATTTACAGAAATTTTTGTAAGCACTTCTAGTGGAAAGAAGTTGGGGAAAATTCGGTGGCCAATTAATGTTGAGTCTCTTGAACGCCAGTCTTATGATCTTTCTCTCTCTGACATACTTGGAACACAGAAGGATTACATGTTCTACATTTTCCTCGCCACCAATATTACAGTCACAGAAAGATGAAGGAGCTAAATTAAATTTGTTCAGGTAGCTTTTGAAATTACCATGACCAGTGAGAAATTGGGTTAATTTGTAGTTAGTGTAAAAATGATGACATGATAGTCTCTTATTAATGGTGGGGAAAAGTTTCTTTGTTATGCTCCCCTTATTAGAAATGAGATATTCTTGGTTCCAAGACTTCATCATTCTTTCTTTCGTTATCTTCTTGTAAAACGATTTAGGAATATTAACGTCAATGTCAATTTTGCGCTTGGTTGCAGCTTTTGCAAGCCAATCGGCTCGCTCATTTCCAAGAACGCCCGTGTGTCAGCGAACAAATGCAAAATCTATTGAGATGTTTTTATCTCTTAGGCTTTTAAGTTGCTTTTGGATCTCGACGATTATATTGTTAGATGAAGAAATACATTTTTAAGAGAATCCAAGGAGGAAAGAGAGTCAGTACAGATGAGATATTCTGAGATGACACTATTTTGCTCAGTGATCCATTTAACGGCGAAATTTAAACATAAAAGTTCAGCTACAAAAACTGTGCATTCATCACGAATTCTAAATTGAAAGTTCTCGGATTCAACACCGTTCCTGAACACAACAAATGCGAAACCAACTCTTCCATCAATTTTACTGCCAAAAAAAACATATTTAACATTCATTTAAAAATTTTATTGGGAAATCTATAATTATAATGTGAGGGAAAAAAGATTACCATTATATATAAAAAAAACAGTTCATATATTATATGTAATATATATATACGTATATATATATATATATATATATATATATATATATATATATATATATATATAATCGTATATTTTTCTATACTTCTGTACATGGAGCCGCCGTGTGTAAATCCTTGTTAGAATACTGTCATTTTACCATTACCTGGACAATTTGGTATCGCTTTTGTCAACATTTTAGTGTCCCCTTTGAGTCTATATCGTATATTTAATCA